ATGCCATGGCGTGAGACTAGGAGATGGGAGTGAGAGGGGCAGTGAAAGAGAGACTTGGGGATGGATTTATAAGAAGATTGGATGAGATGGTGACAAGGGTTGGCAGAGGCAGAAAACATGGGACTTCAAGGCACCAACATTTGCGATGAAAGAGGGTGAGAAGTTAGTAAGTGAAGAAAATTGTTTCTTCTTCTTGAAAACTTAAGCCTTGGTAACAGAAAACAGGGGACTTCAAGGCACCAACTTTTGAGATCCGTAAGTGGTCTATTGACCTTTTTATCAACTTGTGTCAAATTGAGGTCCATTGACAACTTTATCAATTTGGCAGCAAGATGAGATAACAGCTTTAAGTTTTAATATCTTCTAGAGTGCAACTTGAAGTTCTTTCGACTCATTTTAGATGGGCCAGTTATATCATGGGAGTGATTTCGTCGAACTGAATTGCATCTTGGATTTCTTTTTCGAGTTGGGGGCGTTTATCACTTTGAAGAAAGCAACTTTCTCTCGTGCCTTTAGATCATAATCTGTTATTGTCGCTAAATTTTTAAAATCAAAGCTAACCTCTACTGGGTTAATGGGAACCGGTGGGGGGACATTCAGTCAAATTTTGTTCTTGGGGATAAGCAAATCAACAATTTCGAAGTGACAAACCTGGTTAATATCATGAGATGGCTACTGGAAACTTGTTGAAAGTAACGACTCTAAATTTTGTGAGATTGGAACATTTTGATGGTATGAATTTAGAAGGTGGCGGTCCAAGGTCCAATTCTTGTTGGGGACCTTAAAAGTGGATGGATTATGTATTCAAGAAACCAGGACCCTCTACTGTAACAAAAGCTGCCATGACAACTTTGGAATCTACTGGGGAACACCAGCAATGATCAAATTGCTGGAGAAGTTTAACATTCAGTCAAATTTTGTTCTTGGGGATAAGCAAATCAACAATTTCGAAGTGATAAACCTGGTTAATATCATGAGATGGCTACTGGAAACTTGTTGAAAGTAGCGACTCAAAATTTTGTGAGATTGGAACATTTTGATGGTATGAATTTTAGAAGGTGGCAGTCCAAGGTCCAATTCTTGTTGGGGACCTTAAAAGTGGATGGATTATGTATTCAAGAAACCAGGACCCTCTACTGTAACAAAAGCTGGGAACACTGGCAATGATCAAATTGCTGGAGAAGTTTAACAGTGGCACGGAGATGATTATATTTGCAAAGCGCATATCCTGATTGCTTTGAGCGATCCTTTGTTTGGTCTTTACTCAGGAACGTCAATTGTAAAGGACCTGTGGGCGCTGTGGAAGCAAAATATAAAGATGATGTTAGAAGAAAGAAGCATCTCATTAGTAGATACTTGAATTTTAAGATATAGAGGAGAGATTGGTGTGGGATTTTCAAATCATAGCAAATGAACTTTCATCAAATGGTATTAAATTTGATGAGTCCTCCTATGTTGGTGCAATAATAGAAAAATTACCAAGAGGTCAAAAGATTAGCTTGGAACAGTTGATGACTCGTCTGAGAATTGAAGAGGAGACCAAACTCCGATATATGAAAGAATACAAGTCTCAGATGGCTGCCAGAGCTCATGTAACTGAATGTCTGAAAAAAGAAAATGCCAAGGACTTAAAAATGAATCAAGATTGAAGAAAAGAAAGAAGAGAAGAAAGAGGAAAAGAAAGACAGCATGGTATGCTATTTTTGCGGCAAAGCTGGCCGTGTGCAGAAATTTTTCATAGTTCACAAGAAGTAGCTTGCTCAAGCCAAGGTGGCTGAAGGAAGATCCATAGCCATTATCCCTGAAGTAAATGCTATAGGGGGTACTCCAGAATAGTGGATGGACCCAGGTGCTACCTGACATGTCTCTAATAATAGAAACATGTTCAGGACTTATCATATGGTGGGAGAGGACAATGTCCTTTATATGGGCAATTCTTCTTCCACCAAAGTAGTTAGTAAAGGGACAATAGAATTGATATTCAAGTCCAGTAAGGTCCTCACCCTTTTGGATGTGTATCATGCCCCTGAAATCTGGAGAAGTTTAGTGTTTACATGCCTTTTAAACAATAGGGGTTTCAAACTTATGAGTCCGACAAGTTTATCTTGTCGAGGAATGGTGTCTTTGTAGGGACATGTGCCTTTGAAAGCATCTTCAAAGTCAATAGACATAAGGAAAAGGTACCTCTTCTTCTATGTATATGATTATTTAATGGCATGGTATGTTAGGCCATGTGAATTATCATACTTTGAGAAAATTGAATGCTCCAAACCTTGTTCTCAAGTTTGAAAATTACGAAAATATTCTATGTGACTTGTGTGTATGATCAAAGATCACAAGGAAACCCTTTCCTAAAGTGAAAGAAGTCCCATGCTACACAATTATGTTCATGATTTTAGAGAAGTATAGACCCATGGTAGGAAGAAATATTTTGTCACTTTAATTGATAATTTCTCAATATATACGTATATTTATTTAATTCGAATCAAAGAAGAAATATTTGAAAAATTCATGATTTACAGAGCAGAAGTTGGAAGCCATTTGAGTTTGAAAATTAAAATTTTCAGAAGTGACATAGGTGGTGAATATTGCTCTATTGACTTCATTAAATATTGTGAAGAAAATGAAATTATTCACCATGCTTAGTTGAAGAAAAATTTCACCCTTGTAGATATGGTGAATGTCATGCTCATCAATTCAAACCCCCTGCTAATCTGTTGTAGATGCTTTAATATCAGTTTTTAATTTCTTGAACAAAATACCATGTTTAAAATCTAATGCTACACTATATGAACTTTGAAAAGGTGTGGGGCTGTACAGCCTTGGTAGGACTCTTGATTTTAGGATTTCTTAAGGTGTGGGGCTGTACAGCCTTGGTAGGGCTCTTGATTTTAAGAGGCTCAAACTTGGACCTAGATCTGTCAAGTGTGCTTTTGTCTGTAATGTTGATATAGATTTTTGAACCTAGAATCTGATGCGATAATAGAGTCCAGGGATGCAGAATTATCTGAGCACACCTTTACTAGTGAGCTAGATAATGAATATGAAGAATCTTTTGGTTCACGTAAAATTGATGAGCAGGAGAACCTTGAGGACGTAGAACCCAGGAAAAGTAAGTGAATAAGGAAACCAATTGATTTTGGCTCTGATTTTCAAATGTACCTTTTGCAAGAAAATCTTTAAAGTTTCTAAGATGCCATGCCTTCACGTGATGCACCTTTTTGGAGGGAGGCAGTCGATGGGATGAAATCTATATTGGAGAATGACATTTGGATATTAGTGGTTGCCTTCCTTGTGCTAAGCATTTAGGACGTAAATGGATTTTCAAAAAGAAAATAAAAGCAGATGGTACTATAGATAAATATAAAGCTAGATTGATTTCAAAAGGTTTTAATCAAAAAGAAGGTATTGATTTCTTTTGACACCTATGCATCAGTCGCTCAATTAGCTGCCATCGAGTACTCGTTGCTTTGGTTTCGATTTATCATCTTTAGATTCACCAAATGGATGTTAAAATTGTTTTTCGTCATGGTGAACTAGATGAAGAAATCTATATTGAGCAAAACTTGACTGGAACACAGTTTATAAACTTGTGAAGTCCTTGAATAGTTTGAAACAAGCACCCAAACAATTGTACGAAAGTTTCAACACGATTGTCTTATCACATGGATGATGGATTTCAGATCAATGATGCTAGCACTGTGTGTGCACCAAAGTTTATGATGGTGAGATTGTAATTATTTGCTTGTATGTAGACGACATGCTTGTACTAGCCAGCAATATTGCATGCATTGAGGACATTAGGAAATTATATTCTTCTGAATTTAACATGAAAGACATGGGCAAGCTGGTGTGATGCTTGGAATTAAAATAACGAGGAAACCGACTGGGTGTGTTTTAACTCAGAGCCACTATCTAGAGAAAGTGCTCAAAAGTTTTTGTCACCTTTAATGCAGATAAGTTTTGCCCTCTTATGGTGCTCATATTAAACTCAAAAAGAATCTTGATCGTCCTATTTCCCAATTAAACTATGCCAATCTCATTGGACAGGTTCTCACTACCATAGATTTTTTCACTGCAGTGAATAAGCTCACCTCAAGCTTTTGCAAACTATGAGCATGCTCTCTTTTTGCTCACGTGGCCTAGCCACTTTCTTATATCATGTTTTATTTATCTGTAATTTTTTGTTTTTATATTTTAATATTATTTTGGAGCCTCCTTTTTCATTAAAGAAGGGAAAATCGTTTGATAGGGCTGCAGCCCTTTCAAAATAAGTAAATCCTTACCTCTTAACTCATTGAAAATTGCAAGTCAAGCATTGAAAAATCTTACATCAGTCATCTCAACTTGAACATTGTGGTTGTGAAAAAAAAAAAGGATTTCATGCTCTAAAAATAGTGTATATTATAATAGATTATCTAGATCGTCCATTTTGCTTTAAAAATAAGTGTTCATCGATCCACAAGATCTGTACTATTTTTTTAGTTTTAAATTTTATTGACGGTGTTGGAAATTGATTTTAGAGCCATCATAGAGATTTCTGTTACCGAAAGTACTTTGCAGACGAGAATTTGAGGTGTGTTTATTTTGTTTCATAAAGCCTAGGCCTTATAGAAACCTCATCCATTTTCTATACACACTCAAGGAGTTGAGCTTGATTTTGAACAAAATATGGCATGGCCTCCTTGCCTCCTTGTTTTATTTATTTATTTATCTTTATTTTTTAATGTGCAGTATTTTCCGTTTATTTTTATTTTCGTGTTCACTGATTAAGAGTGTCTTTTGTTCGATTATCTGAATATCTATAGGGATTGTTGCAAACATGACATTTAAGAAAAAAAAGGGAGTATGAGACATGTTGATCTATCGTCATAATTTTCCATATTATTTTTATTTAGTTCTTATATCCAGTATAATCTTATATCCAGTAAATTATAAGAGTTTTTTTTGGCTTTCTTCTCTTAGCTTAATGTTTCAGAATGTTGATTTGTTTATGGCAGGTGCTTCACCTTCTTGAGGGAGAGAATTATCATGTTCAAGAACTATTGGAACAAGTCTTGCCATACTATGCCAAAAGTTAAATATTTCTTTTCGTTGATGACATAGTTTGGATGCAAATTTATAGATCAAGGCCTGTTAGCAGGGCATAGTATTAGGAACAATACCAGCTTTGTCGCTCACAAATAAGTAGTTTTCTAAGGATAAAAATGCCTCATGAATATATTGAAATTATAGATAGTTTCTCTCTCAAAAAAAAAATGATATAGCTTCTCTAAAGATTTAAAATTTGATATATATATATATATATATATATAAAATTTTTAGATAGTTTTTCTAACGATTTAAAATTTGAGATAGACCTCTCTCTAAAAACTTTGTGATAGTTTCTCTCTAAAAGTTTTAATATGGTTTCTCGAAAAAATTTGAAATAGTTTTTATATCCAAAACTTGAAATTTAATGCAGTTTGATTGAGTTTGTCTTTTTTCTAAAATTTAAAATTTGAGATAGTTTCTTTCTAAAAATTTTAAGATAATTTATTTCTAAAAATTTAAAGGTAGTTTTTCTTCAAAAATTTTGAGATGGTTTCTCTCTAAAATTTAAAATTTTGATATTGTTCCTATTTTTAAAAATTTGAGATAGTTTCTCTCAAATTTAAATTTTGAGATAACTTCTTCAAAATTTTGAGATAGTTTCTCTTTTTAAAGTTAGTTCTTACGGTCTTTAAGGTATTCTCTACAACCTCTGAGGGTCGTCATGTTTCACGTTTTGATATTTTTGTCAATTTAATGTCATTTGTTTTATCTTTTCCTATATTGCCCATCCTCTTTTGGTATGGAAGTTGCCCATTGAAGGATCTCTCAAGCTGAACTTTGATGGGAGTTTGTTGGGGAACCTGGTCCTCCAGATGTAGGTGGTTCCCTTCGAAACCATGAAGGGACGGTACTATTTTCCTATACTGGACCCTGTGGAAACACTTCGGCTAACCAAGCCGAATTTTGCTCTGTTTAGTTGGTACAGGCTTCACGGGTGATATTCTTATTGAGGGTTGATTAACTTAATGTCATTAAAAAAAAGTCTCTTTATAAAAATTTGAAATTTGAGATGGCTTCTCTTAAAAAAAATTGAAATAGTTTATCTTTCTAAAAATTTAAGATAGTTTCTCTCTTTAAAAATTTTGAGATAGTTTCTCTCGAAAATTTGAAATTTGATCTAGGTTTTCCCTCTATAAATTAAATTTTGAGAGTTGGATGAGGGTTTGGAAATAACTGCCTGGGTGGGAGAGAAATTAGGCCTCGAGCAATTTCATGCATAGGGCCCATCAAAAAATTATATGCCTCTTAGCTTTTTAATTCAAGTTTAATGGGAAAATAATTGTCTAATTTCCTCCCAGTTTGACCAATGTTGTCGGATTCGCTTCAGGGTCTTGTTCGGTTTGGTGAGAAAAATGAAGCAATAAAGTGCTTCGGCAAAAGATTTTGGATTTTTTTTTTTAAAAAAAAATTTAATGTAAACAAATGAAATATTTATATGTAAAATATATACAAATAATGGAAAAATTTAAAATAAAAAATAAAAAATACTTATATTTTTTTGTAAAAGGTGGTGTTTGTATAGAGCTTGGCCTGTAAACAATCAAATTAGAGCCGACCTTCAAATAGTGTCAAGACATGCGGTTTCAATATTGGAAATTTTTGTGATAGCTTTAAAATATATTTTTATCTTTATTTATAAAGTTTAAAGCTTCAAAAATAGTGTAGATTAACAAATCTATGAGTATTTGAAAATTTTGAAAATTGACAGCTTAAAAATGCATTACAAAATGTATTATTTCTTAATCTTGAAATCAATTTTTTTTCTCATGTCCATCCATCTTGATGTTGACATGATCAATTTGAAGATATTTGAGTCGCAAAACAACCTCTTCTAGTGAATATTTTAGGCATGCTTTAATTTTATTGTTTAGAGCTTCGGCTCTATATAAACTTTCCCTTTTTAAAAAAATATATTTATATAGTTATTTTTTTGCTGGTCGAAGCATACTCAAAGCGAAGCGGTCTAAATTTGACCTAAGCAGCCCGAAGCAGTCTGAACCTGATCGAAGCAATCCAAATCTGATCGAAGCTGTTCGAATCTAATCAAAGTTGTACCAAGCTTTACTTCTCAACTCCGAAGGTTTTGGCCTCTTTGGCCTAAGCGAAGTGAATTTGATAATATTGAGTTCGACGATTCTTTTCATATCGAAAGGTCATTTTATGGTAAACATTTTGAGCATAGAATAAATTTTTACTTCTTTAAAAGTACGAACTAAACGCAGCGTCTATCTTCATACCAATAACTAATTTGGGGATTATTTTCATATTGAACCAAATGACTCCTAGGCACAGATGATATGGAAAATGTTTTGACCTGCAACATGTTAGGATTTACTGGCCCTCGTAGATGTGGAAACAAAAAATCCATGAAGTTAGATCCCACTAAGATCTTGTACTTATCCAGCTAACCGAACAAAATTTTGGGAATTATTTTCATATTGAACCAAATGACCCCTAGGCACATATGATGATGGAAAATATTTAGACACGCAACAACATGTTAGGATTTAACAGCCCTATGTTGAAACAGATCCATAATGTTGGATCCCATGAGGACCTTGTACTTATTCAGCTAGAAATAAAATAGACGAGAATATGAGTTATAATATGAGAAATAAAGCATGAAACATAAACGCTACAAGAAGACAAAGATTTATGTAGTTTACCTCAAGAAGGGTACATCTACAAGCACTATCTTGACCAACACCACATGTCGATCTCTCATCTTTGTTCCACATTTAAACCACTATCTAGAAAAAGACAATCTATATTCCACAATTAAACTACTTTTTAGGAAAAGATTTATATTCCACAGCGAAACCATCATTATTCCACAGCTAAACTACTGTTCAGGAAAAGAACCTTGAGAGCAACTGAGACTTTCTCTAGCTACGAGGAAACCATTTATATTCCACGCCTAAACTACTATCTAATAAAAGAATCTTGAGAGCAACCGAGACTTTATCTAACTAAATGGGAAAACCACTACTGTTTAGTAAGAGGACCTTGAGAGTAACCGAGACTTTCTCTAACTAAAAAAGAAAGCCACTCAAAATCTTTGTGAGAACTACTTCTCTACAAGAAACCAAGCCCCTCAATCTTCAAGAGGTACCGTAACAGTGTTTTTCTCTGTATGAAGCTTTTTTCTCTCTAAAGAAAGGCTTTGCCTCTCATGCACAAGAGGCTCATGCCTCTCTCTCTCTATAGGAAACCACCTTCTCGTAACCCAAATAAGGGCACATATATTATTTCATCTTCATCTCATATATGTATATATATATATATATATATATATAATAAAAAGTCTTCCCAATGCCTATAGGTAGAAAATGAACAGTGATTTCGCATACCCACATCACCGTCAAAAGTTCATCGTACAGTCACGATTGTTTGGTTGTGTTTC